CACCATAGAATATATTAATTTAAATAAACTGTATGTATTATACTATTTATCATAACCTTCGATTTATATTTAATTTTTTTTTTCCAGACATGCATAGACATTATATACATATATCTATGGATGCTCACATACACACATTTATGTTTATATAATTTTGTAATATATACATATACATACATATGTGTCTGCTGTGTTTGTGTGTGTGGTGTACATACATATGCATGTGTATTGTATCTTAAGCTTGACAATCACGATATCCACGCAAGGCACCACTCTGGCATATCTCTTTGCCTAATAACGCCTTACTCTGCATTTTTCTTCCATTAAACCCCGTATTGTATGTCTGTACATTGCATACCATCACCGACTACCTTTCCCTCCTGACTACAGATCAATCTACCTTTTTATATCCTTNTTCTTGTGATCTCTGTTTCTAGCAGGAAACTGATTGATAATTTTTTCATTCTATTATATATATATATATATATTAATATATAATACTATATATATATAGATATAATGGTGTGTGTCGCTGTGTGTGTGTGTGGTGTGTGGTCCTTGTAACTCTGTTGTGCTCTTGTACATGCTACCTGCTCTGTGTGCCGCTGTGAAGTCCGTGTCATGTGTGTGTTTCCGTTGTTGTTTTTTCTGCTTTTCTGCTTGCTTTAGGGAGACGCTGCAGAGGGCTCCGCGACACGAGACGAGAGACCGAGAGAGAGTAGAAGAACGGAGAGGCCGACCGAGAAGAGATCGACGAGAGGAGAGAGCAGATGAGAAGAAATGAGAGAGATGCAGAGAGAGAGAGAGAGAGGAGGGAGAGAAATGCATAAGTTGAAAGGGATAGCCGCACCAAAATTTAAACGCACACACACTTAACTACGTACCCACAGACCTTGAACGCTACAGCAAGTTACACACACAGACTTAAAACGCTCACACAATGAACTGCACCAGACTGAAACGCAACGTTACTCTGAACGCGCACAACAAGTACACACAGCCTCAAACGCTCACAAACTTGAAAACGCACAAACAGACTGAAAGCGCACACCACCAATCCTGAAACGGCACACAGACTTTAAGTACACAGACTTAAACGCATACAGACAATACACGGCACCAGAACTTAACACGCCCCACAAATGTTGAAACGGCCACAAGACTAAACGGCACACAATCTGAAACGCCTACACAAGTACTAACAGCCTCAAAAACGCTCACCAACAACTGAATACGCCACACGAGACTGAAGCGCCACACAACTCTGAAAACGCACACAAACTTGAAGCGCACACCCCCAACTTGTAAACGACCACAGACTGACAGCGCACCACGATCCTGAAACGCACACAGACTGAAACGCGCACACCACATCTGAAACGCACACAGACTGCAAGTCGCAGCCAATCTCGAAACGCACAGCAGACTGAAGCGCATCACCGATCTGATGAAACGCACACAGAACTGAGCGCACACGATCTGAAACGCACACAGACTAAAACGCACACAGGCAAGTACACACAAAAGCAGACACACCAGACCCACACTCCGCTTCCACCGCATCGAGCAAATTACAAGTCCCTCGAGAGAGCCAGAGTGGGCCACGACGCAATCCCAAACAGGGGGTAATCTTTGCCTAAAAAGACAAAAGGGATATAAGAGGGAGACAAATGAGGAGGGAGGAAAAAGAAGCAGAGAGAGGAGAAGTAAGAGGGAGACGAGGAGAGAGTAAGATATCGAGAGAGAGAAGAGACGTAAGTGGAGAGAGAGAGGGAACGACGAGCGATTAAGAGAGGGGGAGGGAAGGAGGGTGAGGTTAGGGAGGATAAAGCAAAGACACAGACAACAAGATCAGATAGATAGACGACTGCCTGGCAAGAGAGACTTAGAGAAAAAAGAGGAGAGAGTGAGAGGGAGGAAGAGAGGAAAAGAGACGAAGAAGAGAAGTTTCGTGGCTTTCACTTCGAAGGCTAATAAGAAAGAGGCGTTACCCCATTCCTTCCCTTCTCCCTTTCCTCTCCTCTCCTTTCTCTCCCTCTCCTCCCCTTCCCTTCCTCTTCCCATTCCTTACCTTTCTCTCACTCCCCCCCCTTCCCCCCGAACTCCCCCACCTCTCCCTCTCCCCTTTCTCTCCCCCAACGAGACATTTATATGACATATGACTGAAGACTTATCCACACTTAGCACTCCCTGTGTTTGCGTGACTGAACTTAATCATTTACACGGCAAGTCGCGGTTCTCTTGATGGAGCGATCGACCTCCTGGCCATCCGTGTGGGGGATCCGGGTGGTTGGGGGAAGGGACGTGCGTGGGACGTGGGGAAGGGGGGAAGAGGACGGAGGGAAGTGAGAGGAGGAAGAGAGGGAGTGAGGGGAGGGGAGGGAGAGGGAGTTGAGGGGAGGGAGAGGGTGTGAGGAGGGTGAGGGGAGAGGGGAGAGAGTCGAATGGGAGTGAGGGAGGGGAGAGGGAGTGAGGAGGAGGAGGAAGGGGTAGGGAGGGA